CAAAGTTTATTTTCTTTCTTTTATTTGTGTCTTAAATTTTAAATCTGACATTTTTTAACATTTTCCTCAATTGCAGGATACTGTTTAAAACACAAGAATATGGATTTATTAGTAGAATATACATAAATAGCCCTTAAACTAGGAGGGAAATTAATTAAAATATTTATTTATGAATATTGTATATGACGTTTGAAATTAAGATAGCGGTTTTGTCTTGAATTTTAATAGTTCTAACTTCTAATGAATTTAATTTTTTTCCATTTAAATCACAGTGAAAATATGTAAAAATTTTCAACAAACAACCGAAGCATACAAAATAAAAAATTAATACCAATATTCAAGTATAAAGAGCAGTATATATAATTGCGCTGCAGCATCGAGCATATGCTGGTTCGCAGGAAACAGCTGACAATGTGAAGGATGAGCGTTAATAAATTACCAGCAAAAATAGCCTGTTTCCGTCACAGCTGTAATACATTGCCTCGTTAAATATAATCCTGCCAGTTTGATGTTTACGCGAAACTTTAACAGAGTGGGTTGCATTTATTCTATACTATCCTGTATGTTATAAAAATATGTACATGTTAAGTATATAAAACTTACATTACATTTTATAAAATCATACAATCTCCTGAATATTACATGCAGAATTATGATATATCAGATAGAGTAGTAATTAAACGCAGTTAATCTCGTTTTAAGTTTTGAGTATGTTAAATCAAATAAAAATCCCAATAATATTGCGCTAAGGAATAGTAGTTTACGCAACGATCGCATTTAAAGATAGTTTTAAGGCTAACTACGCGATTTGCGAACAATTAGATTCTTGGTTTGTTGGTTTCTCATCACTAAATTAAAGTTTTAAAAAATATTTAAAAAATGTGGAGATATATTTCGAGTTATCATTAAAACCCATCTTCAGCATCTTTCTCTTTTTTTTACTAACATTCACTACTCATAATGTCTAAAATAGAGGTTATCTTTTTGTTTATAACCTATCATTTCTACTGAATTGTGATGCAACGACTCATTGTCCCAACCACTCACTTAATGTATAATAAATTAAATTGGCCTTAATATCTGATAATTTGACATTCAAAGCATTGGAATTTTACTTCTTTTCTCTCAATCCCAGAACCTCATTGGTTAAAACTTGTATGGACAAATTAGCAAAACAAATATGTCAAATAAGTAAACAATACTGTAAAGTGCATCTTTTCAATTGTAAGAACTGAATTGAAAAGGTTTGTTTAAAAAACTTTTGCGGGTAAAATGTATAAAAATATACTCTAGTGATTTTCTTAGTTAAATGGTAACACCGCTTTTAAGAAACGTAACAAATTTTGTTGTTTTATTATTGCTCCCAAACAGCATGACTTAATAAAATGTATATGTCTAAAAAATGGAATATTACGTTTGTGATTGTAGTATGAATTCGTTATTATAAACATATTCTGTCTGTAATATGTATAAACAATACATATTACACATATAAAGGCCGTATGTTAAATAATATGTCATTATGTATGCAAATGCAGGAAACTACTTATACTACTACGGATAAAACATACTCTCTTAAGTTAAATTGTATGGGATGCAGTGTGCATTTGAAGTTTACTAGACTTTACATTTACCCCACAAGATTGAAAATTATTTTTCTTACAGTAAAAACACATTTGACATTCCGTTTAAGAACAATTATTTAGCCTTAGATATTACATAAGGATGGAAAATCTACTTTAAATATCTGCAAATATATCTACTCAATATACATAAGACATCTCAATCAACCGTAAAATTGAAATTATAATATTTAATTTAATTTAGGATGTAAAAATTTCCATTTAAACACATTTTCCGTCTTTTGTTACGTTTAACAATGACTAGCATAAAAAATAACTATAAAATTCATAATTTTCAGTTTACTAGTTTATTATAAATTATAAGAGTAAAATAACTAAAATTTATTTCACCCTGAAACACATCCAGCTATCTGAGATAAATGGATAAATGTATGCAGATTTATGAAAAGTAAAACATTACACAATAATCAATCATATAGTTTGTATGTTTGTTTTTGTGAGATATCTTGTAATGAATGTTTTGTCCAAATGTTTACTACATTATATTCTGGATGTAGATGTAACGGACACAAGCTACGTGCCTCTAGTTTCAGTCGGACGCGGGTAACTCTCAGAATACTAAAGCACTTTCGTGAAATCAATACAACATCAACTGGGCTGTTTACGAATTGTTATTTCATTTGTGAATATATAAACTAAAATATAGATAACATTTATATTCAACAAATAAATAGGCCTACATTTTGTTAGTGTTTAAACTATATTAATGTGTTGCACGTATGTTATTGTTCAAGATTGGTAAAATAAAAAATAGTATTATAGTATTTAAAAATATAAAAAATGATTTTAGAAAATGTCATGTGATCTTTAAGTAACTTAGTTTTCTTTGAAATCAAATATGACGTAAATAATATATGCATATATTATACATTTATTTTAAATTAATTTCCACCTATTTACTTTTCACGTGATTCAATTATCACAGCTTTTGAAAAGGATGTAAAATTAATCGTGTTATTTGTTTACCCTTTTACATGAAAAACCAAAATATTTAGAATGATTCATACAAAAAATTCAAGCACTTTATGTTGATAAAATTGCAATATAATATTTTTACTGAGGTCAAATTGCTCAATACACTGAATTGATATGAATAATATTTGTTCATAAACCAAAACCCAATATAGTGGTGCTGGGTTGTTTGCATATCGTGATGCTGACAAACAAATATTTAAACAATGCATTATAGATACAATACATTAGAATATGGAGGGATAATTATTCATGCATAAATTAACAATATTTTGAGAAATATTAAATTTCTAACAATATTATAACTTATTAACAATTTTTAACTATATTTTTGTTATAATTTTTATAATGCTTAAAAATTTTTAAAAACTAGTTATAATTATCACACAAGAATTACTGTCCAAAACTATAAAAAAAATATAAACTGGTGTATTCAAAAATGCTTTCTACTATACAAGATCGATACAATAAGATGACTATATGATTAGCCCAAATTCTCATTGCATCTAGATTCAACCCAAATTCTATTACGGCTGATCTCTTTTTGATTATTGTATTTATTAGATAAAGCCAACCTTAATTCAAATACATTCGACTTTATGGTGTTATTCCTTCAATCACTGTACTGTTGTGCAACTACTGCACTGGCTTTGACAAAAATGTACTTATTTATATTGCTGTTACCTTTGACTATTAATAGAACTCCAATATTCAATGCTGTTACCCACGAGCTTCATCCCGTTTGACTTTATAAGTATTATTAAAACTATTGATTGGTTAAGTTAAGCTGAAATAAACAAAACAGAATACAGTAATACAAACAAATAATCACACCTGATTTAAGTAAGATAATAAATAGAAAGAATAACATACAACTATTGATTGGTTAAGTTAAGCTGAATTAAACAAAACAGAATACAGTAATACAAACAAATAATCACACCTGATTTAAATAAGATAATAAATACAAAGAATAACATACAAATAAGTACAGCTGCGGCATCTTTAACATTACGCATATGGAAAGTTTACTTAGAAAGGAATTACGACCTTAATGGGCAATTTATGAAATAACTAGCAGAGTACCCGTCCTTCGTACGGGGTTGGAAAATAAGTATAAATGCAGTTATACTCGATCTTTGCGTTTGCAATGTGGGAAGACATGGTTTGATAACATTTGCTTACTCAAATTTACGGTATGCTATAGTATTACACATCTACCATAGCCATAATGTTGTACTACTTTACCTACACAATAGAGAAAGATGGATTATTTATAATTCGCAAAATATCACAAAATCATTCATGAAATTAAAAACATAAACATAACTGTAATAAAAATCTTACTTTGACAGTTCTCATTGCGTTTCACAGTTTTTTTGTTGCTGAAAAAAATAATAGTGCTGCACCTTGTTGGTATATCTTATAAATTTTTTATGCTTTTGCATATCATAGAACCAACTCTTTTAGTTGACACAGCTGGCTAATTTTTTTAATTCCCTTTAAAAATATGAATACTCATAAGGTTAACATGAGGAACTGCAGAGCCACTGGGGCGGAACTCGAAAGGGTTTTTGAGATAAGAACATGCCTATATGTTAATCGGGAATGTGAGCTATCATCATGCCAAATTTCAGCCCAATCCGACCAGTATTTTCCGCGTTTACTTGTCACAAACATACATACATACATATCCATACATCCAAACTTTCTCATTTATAATATTAGTAGGATGAATAGTTTTGCGCAAGGTTTCTCGTCATGACGAACATTTTAAGTATATGGTTTATGGAGGTGTGTCTTTTAGTTTTCTCAAAAGTTGGGTACTCTGGGAGTTATATATGGATATCAGTTACTTTAAACTTACTCGTCCTGGTCAATTCAACTTAACCCATGCATATGGTTTCGAAATAGGCTATAACCCGTATACATAGTAATTTCTTCATCTATTACAGGACATAACCCTACATTCCTCTGTTCAAACACCAATATGCAGTTGATTTGAATTACTATTGAACCCTATAATGAACATTCAGTGGGCATGATTTGTCTATTAGGAATTCGGTTGCAATGATTATTCAATCCATATACCCATGATTGTTATGTTTAATCAACAACTAATAAATATTGAATAGAAACAATTAACACTTCACATTCGATAGTACTTATTATTCAACACACCTGTTATTGATTTCTATGTTTTATCAACAACTTTTAGCAACTCAATAGGGTTGATTATCACTTTACATTCGATTATACAGAAAAATTCAACACATGATCTATTTACGAGTTTTGATAACGAACAACTACAAAGCACTCGATTGTTATTCAAATATTCGATTATGTATTCGAAAATTCGACTACATTGAACTATTATTGTTTCAGCCAAGCTGGATGGAGTGAAGACCTACATGCGGATGAGAAGAGTTCCGAACCATCTTCAGGTGAAAGTAATCAAATGGTTCGACTACCTGTGGCTCACACAGAAGTGTTCTGACGAGGAGAAGGCAGTCAGCTGTTTACCAGGTGATTAATCATTGTTACCAACTGATACGAAAGTAACATATAACAAATGCTGTAATAATATAGATATGTAATAAACTGACGCCAAAGATTTAGAGTCAAAGAAATACACTGTACACTGTGTGCTGTTACACGACCACTTGGATAATCAACATTACAGTTACTTTAACCACTTTAATTACAAAAATATATTGTACTTGACTGGATCTGCTGTGCAGCTTTAGATCTGGTCTGCTCTTATGCAAATAAATTAGCACGTACTTCTTTGTCAAAATTGGGTATAAGGTCTTAAATATATTTTTAATTTGACTATTTAAAATTAAAATAGCTTATTAGACATAATATGTTTTCTTACTAAACATAAGGTTGACAATTCAATTTAGAAGTATACGTAGCCATTTTATAAGCAATGAGGATTTCCTTTAATACTTACAAATTAACTTACCTTTTATTTTTTCTTCCAAATAGATTTTGTTATATTTTACGTACTTTTAATTTTACCTGTGAACTTCAAACTGTTTCATTAAGTAAATTTGACTTTTCACCACTTTCCATTTTTCGATAAAATACTTTAGATTATGTCGGGCATTCATTTGTTTTGAGTAACTGTAAAATTTACGCAAAATCAAAATTAACAAAACAAATTACTTAAAGACAAATAATAACTTTTTCCAACGACATCATAAACTTTTAACATTTGTTTTCAGTGCAAGCCTTAGTTTGAAACGCCCAATAACCCTGAAAGTGGAAGACTCTGCATACTTAGTGGAGATCAGCGTTCCTTTATTCTTAAAACTCTGTCTGCCCTACTTAGTTAAATTGCTACTGTGTTCAAAGTGTTTATCCATTTCAACTTAATTTGAAAAATATATTCTCCAACAACTCCAATTTAAAAATAATATTGCTTCTTATCGAACGTTTGGTGAACTTTCGCTTAAGAAGGTTCAAAAGGAGTGGCTTAAAGAACATAATATTAAAGGATAAACTTGAATGAACCTGGAGTGACAATACCATTTCAGGCCCAAGCGATGAAATACACTTTTTCATCCTAGGTAGATAATGTTTCGCCCAAAAGAATTTTAACCCAATCACCATAGCTTTTTTGTGGAGTAGTATTAACTAATAAGTGCAGTTGAACTATTTCAATATTACTAATCTTGTAGTGTTATTCTCAGTATAGTTTGGAGTATTTCTCTCATCCCATCCTAAAGGCCGGGGCCACACGACGCGGATCATCCGCGCGGACGGACCACGCGGATGATCCGCGTGGTCCGACAACACATTGAATCAAATGAGAGTGGCCACACGGGGCGATCCTAAGCCGCCTGGGCGGATTGTCCGCGCCATGTCGCGGATTGTCCGCGCGATCATAAGCCGCGTTGGAGGGGATGACACACGTAGTCTTATGAGAGTGGCCACACGATACGGATTGTCCGCGCGGTTAGAGCTCATTTTCAAGCATTTGTAGTGGTTTTTTTTTTAGTTTGTGCTTGTGCATTTCGGTTTATAGGTGTAAAATGTTCGATACAGACAAATCAATAGAACTTGTTAAAGATAATGTGGGATTTCTCATGTTGTATATTTCTCATGAGTATATCTTCCTTAGTTATATGCGGTCAAAGCAATTGAAGTAGCTCGTCAAACGATGCTATCTACATGCGATAGTAACAAAAAAAGACTCCGAACTATGGTTTCGCATGTGCTCGTAAAAGGTTTGAAACACAAATGGTTTATCGGTTATGAAATGATGGACCCAATGATTTCGGTTTGCCTTAGGCTCTAGCTCACCACACGCTTCTAATGCCCAAACTAACATACGTGTTTCTTCCATGACCACAACGAGAACAAGTGAATTAAACCATGCTAGAATCTCAATACGTAGGCTGGGAAACCTCAACCGGAAGCGGTTCATCCGCTCCGTGTGGCCCCGGCCTTATAGTTTGCGTGGAAGAAGTATTTATTTTTAGTTACTCAAATTACCCAATTTAAGTTTATTTTTAACAAGCACCACACATTAACCAACATTGCCCTCAAGAGTGAATATGACGAGACCCAAATACCCCTGCTGCAGCAAACCTGCAGACTAATCGAATTTTCTATTTGCCTATTGGATTTACACTAAAATGTCTCCTTAAAAATATAACATTTATTCCCTATTTAAATAGCATTAGTTTAACGAGTAGACCTACTCTACGTTTTCTTCAACAGAGAGGGAAAAAAAGTTTTTTTTTGTAAAAAGTTAATAGTTTAGCATGAAATAAATTCATTTTCCAAATGTGATCAAGATATGCTCATAAACAAGCAAACAACAACAGTTTTCTTATCCTCCATAAGAATAACACGGTAATTTTAAATTTACATTTACTTGGAATTTTTTCCGTAACCATTAGGCGCATAATTATGCTTAAATATACTAAATCATTTGTCTTTTAAGCTCTTCATAATGGGTTGGAAAGAAATTGCTAATTTTAATTTTTTTTTTCAAAAATTAGAAAAACCAAATGTTACCCCATAAATATACCCCATGATCCCCCGTTCCCATTGCCCGATCACACTGGTTCGCGAACTCGTTCGAATAAATGTAGGTTTACACATTTGTACCAAATTTAGTCAAAATCGTTTCATTTTTGCTTGAGTTATCTACCAACGTTAGGTAAACTACAAAAAAACACACACAATTATATTTGTACTTTAATTCATCGACAACATTCTTTAACTGAGGTGAGATTGGTTAATACGCTGAATTGATGTGAATAATATTTGCGTTCTTCCTTTTCCAGACAAGTTGAAGGCTGAAATCGCCATCAACGTTCACCTGGACACTCTCAAGAGGGTGGAGATCTTCCAGAACACCGAGGCCGGCTTCCTATGTGAGCTCGTCCTCAGACTGAGGCCAGTGCTGTTCTCTCCCGGGGACTATATCTGTAGAAAAGGTAAACTCATACAATTATTTTATATACATGACTGGGGTATAATTGAGTATTAAAGGGAGTCAAAACCAGGATCATCCTCTTTCAGGTCGAATTAGAGATGTGAAGGAAAATTGTGTATGGATGCTACATAAAAGGTTCTGTCGCTCAATTCAAAAAAAATTTTATTTTCGTTGCAAGGTTATTGGGGGTATTTTCCTTATCGATTAGTTACAACTATCTCATAGCGTTTCATAATCTATAAACTATCTCGACATCAGATGAAGAAGTGCAGTACCTAAAACATAACATGATTAGTGTACAACGGAAGAAGGAAAATTACCTAAACAAAACTCTCACATATAAGTCAATAGTGATAAACAAGAATCAAAACTCCTTAATAAAACAATAATTAGTACCAATATAAGGGAGGAAATCACAATATAATTACTGCTCAAGTGAAACTAAAATTGAATAAATTGCATCCTAATGCAAAATGTTTACGTCAATTGGCGTATAAACACCACTAACATGACTCTAACTTTTATTTATTAACTTATAATATTGTTGGGTTGTGTTTTTTGTGTTTTTTGATGGAGGTTTTTATCCATCATGGAGTCTAATGGACTTTTTTGATTAGCTGATCCAACAGTGGTGTATTTGCGTACAGTTTCTTAACTGGGCTAGACTAATATTGATTGAAAATATCGATTTGTAAACCTTAAATTAGATTTTTTCATTATCAGCAAGTTTGGTTAGTTAGGTTATAACAGTTTCATTTTATAATCGATTTTGTTAAAAATATCGAATATCTGCATCTGCAATTTGTTAATGTTGGATCAGCCAATCAAATGACTCCATTCATTCGCCCTATGTGCCGGAACTCCAATTGAAATCAAAATTATGCGTCCAGGACCGATTTCACTTAACCAACCAGCAACCTTCACCTGCATTGATTCTAGAAGTGACAGCAGTAGTTTGTTGTTGTTGAGCGGTTAATTTTTGTTTTTACTTTGTTCACATTGTTTATTTTTTACTAAAGTTTTATACGTTTTCATTATTTATTCACAATTATCTGTGACTGACCATCGGAGTATGGTTTCTGCTGCAGGGGAAGTGGGCAAGGAGATGTACATAGTCAACCGAGGCCGTCTACAAGTTGTCGCCGACAACGGTAGGACTGTCCTGGCTACTCTCAAAGCAGGATCTTACTTTGGCGAGATCTCCATCCTGAACATGGGCACCGCAGGTAAACAGCTGGGTAAATATGCCATCCATCCATTCTCCCTTCCTTCTTACTTCTTTATCTATTTCGTCTCGCATGGTATTTGCTGTTTTCCAATTTGATTGTAGTTTGGAATTGCCAATAGTAGTTTGCTGTCCTAGGACGCTAGGCACGAGCCCGGGATTGTTTTTCATTTTACTCTTTGCGGCATTATCACTAGGTAAAATTTCTTAACCGTGCCTAACCTTAATTGTAGTGGTAAAATTGTATTTTTCTTTTTGTCTATGATTTGACGAAGGAGATATTTGTTCACCTTTTACAATATCTATCAAAGTCCCGACGTTAAATGTTTTAAATTTAATTACGTTTATATAGTTCACAGAATAATTTGTGATACTCTAAGTTTTATGAACAACATGGATTTGGAAGATAATGTTTGATGAAAAATTATCCTCCTTGATTTCAGTTGTATATTTAAAATTGTCGTGAATTTTTCTTAAGATGGAATAAAATATACAACAGTAAAAAATACAACATGTATAATTATTTCTCATTAAGATTTTTCACTGCATGTTCTGTTCTACATTTTCTTAACTCTCTTTATCAATATATTTCACGCATTGTTAAGTAGCCCTCTTTGAGTAGAAGTTAAAAAAAATATTCTCTTTCTCTATTTGCTTCTCTCTATTTTTATTTTTCATACGTAAATTGACATTGTAAATTGTTTTGTAAATTGTTTTTCCTAAAATATCTGATATACTTTAGCTAACAGACAAATATAAAAAATGTTACTAAACTACTAATCAACACATAAAATAAATGTGTAAGTTAATAACAGATCTAAAATGTTTAAAATTTATTTTCTTGTTTTCCATAAACCAATCTAAAGTTTGATTTAAGTTTACGGATACCGTTGCCGGTTTTCGATCTAAATTTTCCTTTTCCTAAATATTCCTGATGTCTCAACCTTACCTATCCACTTAATATAAACAGAATAAAATAGTGTTAACTATTAATATAAATATACGCATATAATAACTGTATTTAAGTTTTAATAAATAATTACTATTCTTAAGTCATTTCCTGTGTAAAAGTCGTACCTGTTTTTGTGTGAAAAAGGATTTAGATTACAAAACTTCAAATACCTAAAACTATACAAAAGAACTCATAAATCATAAAACAGTTACAAAGTTTGATGATAATTTAATGTGAGTTGAAAACTCAAGATATAATCAAGCTCCAGAAGTGCAAGATTAAGGGATTCATAATCGTGTTTTTGGTTTAAACATGACAAACCTTTGTTAATTGTTTAATTGTAACTTTGCATGTTCTTCTAGTCTTGCTGTTTAAAACAATTAATTTTAAAATACTATTGATTATGATGAATTAAACTTTTCACATGAGCACGATTTAGTGTAATTTCTTTGTTGATATTTCTAAATAAATTTTCATTTATTTCAACGATTTTGTTTGAATAAATATATTTAGATTTCAAGTACCTTATATATTTTTTCGTTTTTGAAACTGTTAAAACTGCAAGAAAACTATGATTTTTGGAGGGCAAAACACAACAAGTCTTATCTATACTACTCCTGAACCCTGGATATAGATGCCAAGTTTATGCCGAAAAGATAACCTTTATTTTTAATGGTGTTGCCTTGTGAATTATTTAACAATTAATACTATAAAGGTTAAATAAATACCTTGTTAACAATGTAACCCTTTGTCGTTGGAATAGTGACCGGTTTCAATACTCTAAGGTGTCATTGTCAAGCATTAGATAAATTTATCATATACAAATATGTTTATGTAATTTATTAAATCATCAATAGTCCTTGATAGAAATTGCAGCAGAGTAACTCCTATAAAAAACAAAAGAGAACTTGCCAAAGAGTTTAAGTGACGAAGACTTTACTCCATTGTCCGTGGACCTATCGACAATAAATTCGGGTTTTTTGTGTTTTACTATCCACCTTATCCTCCAGGCAACCGAAGAACGGCGTCCGTGAGGTCCGTGGGCTACAGCGACCTCTTCGTCCTCTCCAAGAAGGACATGTGGGACGTGCTGAAGGAGTACCCAGCGGCGAGAGTCAGGCTGGAGGCAATAGCGGTCAAGAGACTGGAGAAATACAAGAGGGCGCCTCTAGAGAAAGGTATGTACACAACTGGAGTATATAAGATCATTGTTGGATGGTCATGGGAGAGAAGTTTTTAGTTCCGGCCATGGAGTCCGTAACCACCCTTCCCTTCGAGAGTAGAAAATATAAAAAAGTCTCTATCCCGGTACTGAATGCAAATTACTTCAGGCTAGGCTTAGTGGGACGAGGCTTTGTTACTTAAAGTCAATAATTGTTGTTTGACGAGATTTGAACCCTGAACCTCCTAGACGGAGCCCCCGTGCTCTACCCCTAGACCAGGCTGCACCCCGTAAATATATCTTTAATCATAAAATGAATGAAATACATTTCATGCTTAACTTACTTACTTAATCCTGTCCTCTTCTACCGGTTGGTGTCCAGGTTACAAGGCGCCTCCATGACTTTCTGTCTGCAGTGAGTGGTAGACCTTCACGGATGGAGCTGCCCCTCTCACGCAAAGCATCCTCTATATCTTCCTCCCATTTCCTTCTCGGTCTACCTCTCTTGCACTTTCCCTCGACTTTGACCTCTTTCATCATCTTCGGAAGCCGAGTTCATGCTTAAATGACTTTAAATACTCATTGAGGGGGTGGGAGAGGAAATTTAAAAAATACACCCATTGCTTTACAAATTTATCCTTGAGCTTTGTAAGCCTATTTTTTACTTGGCTCCAGAGCAGTCTTTACGTCCAAACAGCTATTACCGTTAGGCCTAAATTGTAGTTAAACTTAAATAAAATACGTTTTGTTACCTTGTTTTGTTATGTAGGGCCCAAAAATATATATAAATAAATTAACGTGAAGACGTCTAACCCAACTTTATTTGACAATGAACAACTTTTTTTCTTTCACTAGCTAACAAAAACATTTACTTTATGATTGTTAATATACCAATTAATTACCAACCAACATTTTAGTGATAAGCATGAAAGCCGTTGAGACGTCATCAAATTAGTGGCCAAAAATAGTGTAGGTAAAATACCAAAACATCCATATGTATGCATACAAACAGCTGATTAATAATAAAGAGAGTAGGCAGAGGAAAATGTTTTGCATACGAGTAAACTGTATGTTGATAAAACCTTCTAATATAGATATACACAACTTGTGTGGCAAACATTCCATTACAAATAAATCCAAGACTTTTTAAATTAGAGTTACACTTTTACAAATGATATTCATTTAAGTAGACGTTTGTGTTGTGTCAATCATAATACAACAATATAAATAACATAAATGAAGCAGCCTAATGTGACGAGCTAATTATAATTTTGGCTTAGCTTCTACTTATTAACAATTTCCCCAATATTTATTTAGAATTTAATACTAATTAACCCATAAAAACACAAAAAATATCTAATGAATCCGTGTAACAAGAAGGTAATTGATACATATTGTTGTTGCAGGTGATTTCATTGCTGGTATGTATGCATTATTTCCAAATTAGTCGATACTCACAATCAATTAAATGAAAAATGTTTTCAATATTGCAGTAAAAGAGATTGATATTCAAGTGTTGCAGAATTTATTGGAACGAACTTAAAATTGACAACTTCATTTATCGAACTATAATAAATATCGAATATCACTTTTATTGAATGTTATCATCCGAATTTGTGTACCAATAAAAGTCAAGTGATGCTGTATTTCATACCAATTGTTTGAACGTATTAGTTATCTGTGGCTTTGGCACGCTTAATATTTTATTATTTGTTGGATATTGAACAGTAGGCATACCCTATAGAATGAGGAATAAATAAACGGTATCAGTATTCTGACACGTAGTTTCTTCCATAAGCTCGTCAACAACCTTTATCATGGGTAAGCGGTGAGAGTAAACCGCTATTTTTTAGTTAAAATCACAAAGTTGCAACAACTTTTGAACCGTAATTGTTACAACAATGGGGTGTTGTACTTTTTTTTAGAAGTATAAGGACCATAACATATTATTTTGGATCAAAACCAGCTTTTCTCCATAAATCAGATTTTTTGGTTATTTTGTGGTTTTTTATGGGAAAATAACATAAGTTACATTAACTTTTCAAATGGAATTTGTACCATTTTGTTCAAAATTTAAAAGACTATAACGTACTACATTTTTAAGAAAATAGTTTTTGGCCATTTTCGAGAAAATCCGATTTTCCATTATTTTATGGGGTTTTATGGGAAAATCCCTATTAAAAATCAAAATTTCCATAAGATGAATAAAACGTTAAAAATTGTAAGGACCAAGGTAACATACCAAGGTAAATCAAAACCGACTTTTTATGTAAAATCCAATTTGTCGGTATTTTATAGGGGTTTTATGGGAAAATAACATAATTTACAATAACTTTTGAACCGTAATTTTACAGAAATGGGAGTCGTACCAGTTTGTTCAGAATTTAAAGGGCTACCACATATTCAATTTTTATCAAAATCGTTCAGGCCATTTTTGAAAAAATACGATTTGTCCGTTATTTTATAGGTTTTTATGGAAAAATCTACGTTAAAAATCTAATTAAAAAATAAATTTTAAAAACACCTGAAGATACCATGGATTAGAACCTAAACACCAAATTTCATCGAAATCGGACCACAGGTGTAGTCCCTAGCTCTGTACACATCCAGACACACAGACACACTGACATCACTTCGAAAACCACTTTTTTGGGTCCAGGGGGACCAAAAACGGATATATCCACTCAAAACTCAAACTCGAAGATTTTGAGGAAAACAATACTTTCTCCATATACTATGGTATAGGGGGAGAAAGTAAAAAGACGAGTTTTAGGTTGGTTGAGTTAAGGTAAACGCAATTGTGAGTTATTAATAAACAAACAAACTCTATTTACACGGACGGGCACCATCAAACGCTGTTGGTTTTGGTTTGGACGGTGTTGAACTTAACTGAGTTCCAATTTGTTTTAATTTCCCTTTGGCAATTGAATTTGATTGCCCATTCAAACATGGTTGACCCGGTTTCCACTTGGTAATTATTAATGGTGGTGTCGATAAGTTATTCTGTTTCGTGGGGACGCGAATAGAGTGAACACTATTCATGTTGCTTGTTGCTTTGCTCTGTTTGTGAAGATATTAAGTATTATTAGAACATTAGAAACTTTACGAGGAAGAATAAAATTATTAACCAATTATATGGTCAAAATAATATCATCTGTAGTTGAAACATTTATGTTTGAAAAGGTTTTCAAATTAGTATTCATGTCGAACCTAATTACATGACGAATTTTCTATACTTCAAACCAATTTAACATAGCGTAATTAATTTTCAAAGAGATCAACTACATTGTTTAATATTTCTCAAGATTTATGCATCTTTAAACTACTTATAACGAATTATAGGTATTTTAATGGTATTATCCATCCCTAAGTAGACAGGATAGTGTAAATAAAGCAGTTATTTATGGGTTTCCTATAAAAAATATTGAAAATAATACCTATTGAATAAATTAAATTTTAAAACGACGATTTTCTCCAAATTACCCCTGAGTGACTTAAAAGTTGCTTAAAAATAAACAAATAACTTAACCTCTGCCACACAATGTTAGTATTAAAATCCCACATCATTTCTGTGGTTTAACACTTAGTTCATTTTTAAATGTAAGCTTAATATACAGGGTGTCCATAAAAAACGTTTCAGGACTTTGGGAAAAAAATCCTCATACTAAAAGGAAGAAAATGGTTTATGTAAAGGTATGTCTGAAAATGCATATTTAGCCACATATCTGCTATTCTGTTTTTTATAGAAAAAAATTTTTATCTGTGAATTATTTCATTCGATGATTATGAAATTTGGTAATCATGTTAACATACACAAGACCTATTATGGAAAAAATAATGAAGTTGGTCTGATAGTAAATTTTAAAATGGTGAATTTATATAGCCCAAATAATTCAAAAACTGCTAATTCTATGAAAGATTTTAAGAATATTTTTTTACCATTAGTAATTTCCTATTAAACAACATAATTGTCGGGGAACACTTAATTTTGCCTGATCTTACAACTAAAAAACTTTCTAGTTTTGTATAGCCTATGTCCAAGTATCAACAGTTTCTTGTGGTGAAAAATCTAGCACTGTAATTCTACCGTAGCGAATTCAAAAATACGGTTAGTAATCCAAGTTTGAGTCGTCAGATACATTAAGAACACAAAAACAACTTTATGGACACATACATTTCACATCAAAACGTATAAAAACTATAGGCCTAGTCTTACCTTACACTTTATCTCGTCACGTTTGTCAACAAGAGCCATCTCAAAAAGTGAAGTGAAAGATAACGCTAAGGAACTGTTGATACGAGTTACCTTAATTGCATATATTTATCAATGAATAATATACAGAGTGCGGCAAAACAATCTATTTTCTGGAGTGCACTGTTTAGCGACAGGTCGTCTGAGAGTGGTAGGGGTAGGCTCGTTGGAGAGCCTACACGATGTCATTATCTAAAGTCATTTACCAGTGGTCACCTGAGCAACTCGGGTTTATTATTGAGTCGTTTAAAAAAAGTAATGATTCAGTAATTGCAACTCAACGGCATTTCCATGATTTTTTTAGGTCGACATGGAGAGGTTCCGTCGTGATTATCTGTTGGATTATCAACAAAATTAAACATATTAATACAAATTAATCTGTAGGCATAATAATTAAGTTCGAACCTAAATATTTGAGTAGCCGAGTGGTAAGACATGTTCAAAGCAGATGCTTGTTTTTGGGTAGGCCTACGAAGACTTTTTTCCAGACCAGTAAGAACTCTATTGAATGTTACTTGTCTGGCGTCCGATCTGACTTTGGACGGCCTGTCAGCATCTTTTTCGCAGAAGCTTTTGTTCTAAAGTTGCTAACCCAACACATGATTGTGCTACGCAACGGAATCCATGTCATCCTAATTAAAAGAATGCACGAAACATTCGCTGCTGAGTTGCAATGACTGAATAATTACTTTTTTAATTCGACTAGATAACAAACGAACGCTGCTCAGGTGACCACTGCTCTATGGCCACGGATAATAGCATCGTGTGAGCTTTACAACGAGCCTACCCCTACTACTCTCGGAGGACCTGCGGCTGCAGAAAAGAATCGGGGTTTAGTTTCTGTAGTGCATTCAGATTGAAAAATAAGTTTTTCATTATCAAATATGTATTATAATCTTAAACCTTATGCCGGACCCTTATCTTAAATCTTATTAAGACAGTCATCTTGTTTTACAAGGAATTAAACTACGATTTTGAAAATGTCACAAGTTACCCTTACGTTTAAAACGCACTAAACACGTATTTGTTATTATTCCTGATTTGTCTTCCAGCGGCCATGGGCAGGAGTCAGTCCACGCCGGGCCTAGTAGAGACTAAGGGGCGAGTACCCCTGGAGGAGATGTGGGTGTCACCACTGCCTCCTCTAGATCCTGTACCTCCTCTCTCGGCCGCCACTTCTGGGCCTCCACCCTCCGCCTACACCTCTAACTCGCTCTTCAGCCCTGCGCTGAGTCCCACGACAGCTAGGTAAGTATCTCCAACAATATTTGAATGTATATGGAATATGTCGGTGGTTTAGGGTTAAAGCACTTCTGTCTTTGGTGTAAGAAAGGTGGGTTTAATACTAAAAAGGTGTCAATAAAACATATATCATGTTTATAAAAGTAAATTGCAATCATGAGGAACATGTAAAAATGGTTAGAATATTTTTAACTTTCAACAAATTTTAAACCGGACCCTCTTACTAGAGTTTAGTTATTTGACCACCTACAAAGTATTTGACATTAAATACTGTTTTTTGTTAGCAATATAGTAAATCTTAATTGAACGACTTAATTGACAACCAATAACATTCAAGTCACATGATTACGCAATTACCACTGATGACGTAGGTAACTTTCTTGAACGTAATTTCCAAAGTCTACGATCAATACTTCTATTGATAAAATACTCTCACTTGTGTTTTTACTATATGAAAATAGTTTTAAGATGTCAACTTTAGTTTCTGCTGAACAATCTGTATTATCTGTGTGGCTACAGTAGATCGCAGCACACCAACGCATCGCCGCTGTCCATCTTGTCCAGCGAACACACCTCCGAAGAGCAATCCTGCCACCACGTGCCTCTCTCCCAGAACACTAAACCACCCTCGGGTATGTAAACACTAAACAACCCTGGGGTATGTATACACTAAACAACCCTCGGGTATGTAAACTCTAAACAACCCTGGGGTATGTATACACTAAACCACCCTCGGGTATGTATACACTAAACAACCCTCGGGTATGTAAACTCTAAACAACCCTGGGGTATGTATACACTAAACCACCCTCGGGTATGTATACACTAAACAACCCTCGGGTATGTAAACTCTAAACAACCCTGGGGTATGTATACACTAAACCACCCTCGGGTATGTAAACTCTAAACAACCCTGGGGTATGTATACACTAAACCACCCTCGGGTATGTAAACTCTAAACAACCCTGGGGTATGTATACACTAAACAACCCTCGGGTATGTATACACTAAACAACCCTCGGGTATGTAAACTCTAAACAACCGTGGGGTATGTATACACTAAACCACCCTCGGGTATGTATACACTAAACAACCCTGGGGTATGTATACACTAAACAACCCTCGGGTATGTATACACTAAACAACCCTCGGGTATGTAAACTCTAAACAACCCTGGGGTATGTATATACTAAACAACACTGGGGTATGTATACACTAAACAACCGTGGGGTATGTATAAACTAAACAACCCTCGGGTATGTATACACTAAACAGCTCTGGGGGATGTATACACTAAACCACCCTCGGGTATGTATTATGATGAGTGCTGAGTATGTATTATGTATCGGGTATGTATTATGGTGAAAAAAACCACCCTCGGGTATGTATACACTGAATTCACTAATCCACCCTCTGGTATGTATACACTAAACCACACTCTGGTATGTATACACTGAATATACTAAACCAACCTGAGGTAGATATACACTAAACCACCCTGAGGTATGTATACATTAAACACACTAAACCACCTTCGGGTATGTACACACTAAACCACCCTCGATCATCGTAAAGCCTATAATAATATTTATATAGCAACAGATACAGTAATATGATTTAAGAATGTGTACACATATATATTTTGTATTGCAATTTTGATTTAAAAAATGCTGTTATGAATGGAAACGGTGTGAAGACAAACTGTTGTATTACCAACAGGTAATAAAATTTTAAAGAGACCAACCATAGAGGAAAGGTTTAAAAAAACGTATTTTAACACACAGGTGCCTTCTAAAAATTCCAATGACTCATTACTTTGGCACATCAAATATAGTCTTCTCGTGTTTACAATAGCTTCGATGTGAGAACTCCCTGTTTGTCCAGGACCCAGTCCCGACGTGATATCACAGGAGGCCTTCATCGCGGAGATCAAGAGGCTGAGGGAGCGTCTGGTGACTCTGGAGACGGAGAACGCAGCCCTCAGCATGAAGCTGAGTCAGCAGCAGTGGGAGGTGAGTGCTGAGGAACATAGCTCTCAGGATAATTGGCAGCTGTAGCGAAAGCGAATAGTGTTTTTGAAGGACCATTAATTAATGGCAATAATTGTTCCTATTCAATGTCAATGTATATCTGATGTATCCTAACAGAAAAGACGACACTTTTTACTTTCTCCCCCTATACCATAGTATATGGAGAAAGTATTGTATTCCTCAAAATCTTCGAGTTTGAGTTTTGAGTGGATATATCTGTTTTTGGTCCCCCCTGGACCCAAAAAAGTGGTTTTCGAAGTGATGTCAGTGTGTCTGTTTGTCTGGATGTGTACAGAGCTAGGGACTAAACCTGTGGTCCGATTTCGATGAAATTTGGTGTGTAGGTTCTAATCCATGGTATCTCCAGGCGTTTTTTAAATTTATTTTTAAATTTGATTTTTAATGTAGATTTTTCCATAAAAAGCTATTAAATAACGGACAAATCGGATTTTTTCAAAAATGGCCGAAACGATTTTGATAAAAATTTTGTATGTTGTAGCCCTTTAAATTCTGAATAAAATGGTACAAATTCCATTTCTGTAAAAATTACGGTTCAAAAGTTATGGTCAAATATGTTATTTTCCCATAAAAACCCCATAAAATAACGAAAAATAGGATTTTAGAAAAAAATCCGGTTTTGATTTATCATAGTATGTTATGATCCTTACAATTTTAATAGTTTTTTTTTTATTTTTAGAAATTTTTATTTTTAATGGGGATTTCCCCATTAAACCCCATAAAATAACGGAAAATAGGATTTTCCCAAAAATGGCCCGAACGATTTTGATAAAAATTTAGTATGTTATAGTCCTTTATATTCGGAACAAAATGGTACAAATCCCATCTCTGTAAAAATTACGGTTCAAAAGTTATTGTAAATTATGTCATTTTCCCATAAAACCCCCATAAAATAACAGAAAAATTGGATTTTCCCAAAAATGGCCCGAACGATTTTGATAAAATTTAGTATGTTATAGTCCTTTAAATTCTGAACAAAATTTTACAGATCCCATTTCCGAATATTTACTCTCACCGCTTACACATGATAAAGGATGTTGACAAACTTATGGGAGAAAGTATGTGTCAGAATGCTGATACCGTTTATTTAATTAACTAATCAATCTTTGATATACTAATTTGACATTGCAAATTGTGAATTTATGGAAGATGAGGTGTTGAAGAGATCGCATTCCTATGTCAAAATGTTTTCCAATTTTAGTATGTAAATGAACGTAGTTTAGTTTCACTAATCCGACAAAATGCTGTTCCCAACTACTTATTTTTGTCACTTATGATACTAAGTAACCAAACTAAAAGTCAAATCACTGTAAACTATTGCATCTTTAAAATCTTATAGATAATCAAAGTGTGCAAAAACTAAGAGAAAATGGATTTTGTGTCGTCCAAGTGCGTAGCTCCTTCTTATATTTTAATTCATCAGAATAAGCTGTGAATGATATTTCTGCACCTACAACCTAACCTAACCTCATTTACGTCACCTTCATTTTAACAGGGCAAAAATTAATAGTGGGAGCCCTTTTCTTGAAAATACCCAACTAAACTTTGATTTAGAGTTGACTTAAGTCACATTTCAGGTGGAGCATCGTCTAGCGGAGATCGAAATGCAGATTTGTGGGGCCAGCAGTGCTGACAGCAGTGCAGAAGACAACGAGAGAAACAGGGAAAGCATCATTTAACAAAGATGGCGGCGAGAAGACCTTCGATTGGTCAACAGGCGGGACGAGCTAGCCTCTTTGACTGTTTAAACTATACTTGACCAAGGATATTGAATCGAGTTATTTCCTACAACCTAACTAAATTTTAGTTACACCGTGGGTGGTATGGTGGTATAACCAATTGCATGGTTGTACATAGAGCACACATGGAGGGGAGGGGGGGTAACTCATTGTTGTCACCACCCCTTAGCAATTACTATGCTCTACTAGGTAAATGGAACTGTGAACTTCCATTAATTCAGAAATCAATAACAAGATGGTACTTTTATAAACTTTTACCAACAAAACGCATTCCCTGCTGTTAGTGCAACGTTATATTTTTAGTTTCATTTTTGAATTGATATAAATATTACAGTTTCTATATAACTTTTCAACTTAATTACTGATACAAAGGATGAATAACATTTTAGATACAAATGTTGAGAACGAAAGAAAAATTCAGTTCAATTTAGATTGAAATATTATGTATCTTCAGCTTGCTCAAGTGTGACTCAATGGGAAAAAAGCTATTTTGGCTTAAGGTTTTTTTTTTTTTTTTTTTTTTTTTTAGATGTTTGATGTTTGGATTATAGCTTGTAAAATACGATCATTCATATGTATTTAAGTTTTCAAAGACTTTTGTGACACAAGTAAAAATATTGTACTGGAAAGAAGAAGTATTCGTACCTGGATATGAAATTCACTTATTTACCTCAACTTGATGCTGGTTGGTACAACCAATCTTCTTATAAGTCTGAGAATTCGTCATCCTTTTCGTCTGTCATATATTTAAAAGTGGATTCGAAGATACGTACAAAGTATTTTTATAGGTTATTATTTCAAACAACCAAATAGTCAGGCAGACTGTGTGATGAATTGGTTAGTAGAAAACTTCAATAGGCCTACTACAGTTTCTTTGGCATAGTATTACCAAACGGCTGTTTCATCATAAAAATATTTTTATTTTATTTTTAAGCACTATGCAGCAGGGTCAACTAATATTTTAAGTAGAACTTTTTCCGGTTTAAGAATCCATCTTGCTTCCAAACTGGCCTAAATGTACAGAAAAACTTGGTTGTTTATTGTAATGTTGGGCTTTATACTAATGGCTTTATACAATTTAAAATCCATAAATTTAAATCAACCACAATTCGCTTAATTCTCTTTTGCAAAGGATAGTGAGTGAATTTATTGCGATTGGATTTAAAATTATTTATTTTATAGAACGGAAAACATAAATTTTAATAAATGTAAAATTTATGGTTATTTTGTTAGTTACTTATAGAACATATTTTCAAGGTCAGAGTATGAAGCCCCTGACAGATATTGCTAGCGTTTCATTGTAGTGAATGTCATGATTCTTCTCAAACATAACCCTAGAAAGTCACTTGTTAAAACTCTGCTTTCGGGGCAAAATATACACATTCATATGACGAAGCTGGTTTTTCCATTCCCTGACATTTGGTACATTAATTACGAGAACAGTTTAATTGATTTTCAAATAACCAAAATTTTTTTAGTTCCTGGAAAATTAATAATACACAGTGATATTTAATTTAAGTTACTTTGTGAGTGAAGTTTATCTACTAAAAATTATGAAAGCAGATTTTAGCAAGTGACAACTTCACAAACCTCAGCGAACGTTATCAAAAGTTCCGTGCTACGTGTTCAATGTAAATAGTGTTGTAAATAAAAAAGAAAAGATCAATTTTCGTATTTTTATTCTATGTGCTTTTAGCTAGGCGAGCATTGTATATTTAAAACTCAGTTCGACTTTCTTAAGACGGGTTTTGAATTTGCAAGTACAACATTAAATCATTTATCATGATAATTTATTTGCACCGCATTGATTCATTTAGATTGGAACGTGTTTTGACGGCTCTTCATCCAAATTTGTATTTCGGTGATTAAATCAATGCTAAAAGTCAATTATGCGATTTTAAATTTCAAAATCAAACCCCGTCTGAAGAATGTTCGAATTGTTAACATAATACAACTAAAACAATACAATTACCATTACTGATCTAGTTTGCCATTTTCTCATTTTGTAGAAATATTTTTTAAGTTATTACACCAAACCAAAATCGCTGTTACAAAGTGGGACCAAAAAATTGATTTGCGATTCTGGCATATGCAGAATCACTCGAAACGAGGGTATTTTAGTGAATGTAAATTAAGGAAGAAAACTCGAGTATCGTGGTCGCATACATTTAAATAAACTTTAGTAATCCTAAATTTAAGGATATTCAATTCTTATTTAATTATTTAAACAAATTTTATTTTTTCCTAAATACAATTGAACTCAAAACCCAAAGAACGTCAATTCATTGAATATACTCCATCGTGGAGTGTCAAAAGGCTGTCGCAACTACACATTGTTATGTAAAATACGACAGTTTAACGGGGATAATAAAACCAAAGTTCTGTCAAACATTTAGTTAGAATTAGAGTTTAATTTTTCATTAGGCAAACACTACGAGTTAAATATTTCTTCTCTTCTTCATCTTACTATCGATTAGATTTTAGATACAGATCTCGGGGAAAATACACAACCTTGGGTTGTCACAGAGTTAACTCAAACTCAGTCAATTTAATCAGCGCCTCTGGTATATTATAAACCATCAAAAACTTATTTAGCTTAATTAATTTTATTCGTATCCGTGGTTAACTACAACACATCCGATATTATTCATACTTAACCGATTTTTCTACAGTAACCCGATTGTCTATTTTCCCCGAGACGTTATTGCACATCTATGCAAACTCTTTCGTAGTTAATCTTATACTCTTTTATAATCCCATTTAATATAATGTTTTATCTAGCTTACATTTCCAACATTCAATTAGTTGTATGCATATGCTTTCGATCGGTCCGATTAAACAAAAACTAAACAAACGATAAGTGACTGTACGTGGAATGATGTCAGTGTGTTAACTATTGATAAAAGACGTTAAAAACAGTTAATAAACGGGAAAGTTAAGTTGTTGGATGGTTTAGCCTAGAAGTTATGTAGTGCCATATTCTAAACATGTTGTGGATGAAAGTATAGAATTGTTGATCTGAGCAAATGATTTTATCTTGTTGTACGATGGACTCGATAAAGAATTTCCACTCGTTTTAATGGATTTGTACATTTTTTTATCGCTCAGGTAAAGCTAATTGTAAATAATTAAGTAATTAATAAATAAATAAAGTTTATATTAAAATATATGAATATTGTTTTATTTACCTTTTCGATTATGTAAACATTAGAAGTGTTTAAGTTGTAGTATTTCCCAAGGATGAATTTTTAGGAATGAATATCTGTCATTTTGGAGGTTCGTTTTAGCGAATTTCCCTATAGGGAAGTAGCTATTACCGTAGGTGGCACGGTAAGACCTAGACCCGGGACCGATTTACTTTTTCATTTTGATGTCCCCAGAGGCCAAAAACACCATTCGTTCAAATTTTTATATTATCTATGTATATAGACTTATATATATATATATATATATACGTCCGTGAACGCGATAACTTGAGTAATTTTTGTCCGATTTTGATGAAATTTGGTTTAAAGGTGTAAAGCGGGATAAACTTGAATGAGTTCGCGAACCAGCACGATCGGACCATGGGAACGGGGCTTTACGGGGGGTTTTATGGGGTAAAAATTGGTTTTTCTCACTTTTGACCCTCAAAACACAAAATTTCCCGATTTCTCTTTAGACCTTTTTAAAGAGCTTAAAAAAACAAATAATTTAGTATATAAAAGTATTTTTGTTCGATTATTAGTAACGGAGAAAATTAAAAAAAAATGTAAATTTAAAATTCCCATGTTATTCTTATGGAGAATATTGTCAAATGTTGTAGTTTGCTTGTTTATGGATATATTTTGATCAAACTTGGCAAATTTATTTATTTTGTACTAAGCTATCAATATTTTACTCAAAAACACACTTTATTAGTTTCCTTGTAGCAGCAAACCTAGGTACTCGTTAAACCTAATGTTATAAAATATATTTAACTGAAAATCAATTCAGACAAATGGAAATTCGCTTAGTCGGCAGGTTTGCTGCGGCGGGGGTATTTATTTTTATACATTAAATGACCAAGTATGCAAGTTATTTGTGCACTACCGAAACTTCCATCAGATTGTTGTGAAAGTAAGAGCACGGATTCATTTTATAACCTTGCTTATGAGCCTATCTCATTCATTCTCATTCATTAGAGAAAGATTCATTTTCTTGTCTGAAATTAGGATTTCAGATTTATGTTTATATTCACTAGGGTGAGATTTATTTGTTCGTACTATTTTGTTTCCGATAAAATGGTTAGACAGTTACAAAGTTTATATTTGCTTTGTTTACAGTTAATATTGATAATGACATTTTACTTGCACTATTACACAAATCGCTGAAGAACGGTAAATTTTGTGGGTAACTATTCCAAGGATCAATTCTTTTTAGGCAAAAACTCGATTGAATATTTTGTAAATTTATGTAGCCGTTTATCTACTTTATTTTTGTAATCATCACTGCAAAATGTGTACATCATAATTTAGATCACCATTCGCTTAGTCACTTTTATAAAGCCCCCGCGTTCAAATATAGAAAGTTATTTGTATATCTTGGTCCCATTGCGTTTCCATTACTGGATCAAAATTTCCTACAAATCCTATCTATCTGTAGTCTACTAAACGTATTAACAAAAAGTATTTCCAAGATTACAAAAGTATTTACAGTAATTATATGTGGTGGTATTTTTGCAATATTCACAATTACCTTTCCACTTTCTTAAATATACAAAAATAGACGTTTATATAACAGACTGGACTTCTAGATTCATTCAAACATGTTTACAGTTTTGACTGTTGATTCGTAGATTTAATTGGGAAAGAGTTATAGGCATTTTATTATTGTGTCTATCAAAAAGCTATTGACCTTGTACAGCTCGGTAAGATAGTTGATATGGATTATTACTTGGCGGTAGGTCTGATTATGTGGCACTCACGTATTCCCATTCAATAAATTATGATAAGTTTAAACAGTAAAACTATACTCTAACATTAAATAAAGATTACACCGGTACTAACAATACAGGACACTATTATTGACATTATTCTGTAAGTTTTAGCCTCTGGATCACAATTATAATAAACTGTATCAGCAATCTGACACATATTTTCTCCCATTAGCTTATCAACAACCTTTATCATGAGTAAGCTATGAGAGTAACTATGATATTTAATAGGTAAAATCACAAAAGTTGCTCACACTAAGACACGGACACGATTACGAAATTATTCAACAAATACTCTGGATAAGAAATGTCACAGGGCAAAGAAAGAGACAATATTGTGTTGTCTCCCTATTATTCTGGAATACTACTCTA